GGACTGGGGAAGCAGCAAAGCAGCCACAATATCCTCTCTGGGAGCCTGCACATTCATGGGTTTGCAATAAGCCATGGTTTGAGCCCGCTCACTGTAAAACTGGTTTACAGCAGTTTATAGGCAGGAGAATGGCCTCTAACTGTACGTCTGAACAAATATGTCATTTGTTCCATTTTTTATTTTTTGGTGTGTGTAATCATCTCTGTAAGGGACGCGGGTGGCGCTGTGGATAAAACCTCAGTGCCTAGGACTTGCCGATCGCATGGTCGGCGGTTCGAATCCCCGCGGCAGGGTGAGCTCCCGTCGTTTGGTCCCAGCTCCTGCCCACCTAGCAGTTCGAAAGCACCCCCAAGTGCAAGTAGATAAATAGGTACGCTTTATAGCGGGAAGGTAACGGCGTTTCCGTGCACTGCGCTGGTGCTGGCTCGCCAGAGCAGCTTCATCATGCTGGCCCCGTGACCCGGAAGTGTCTTCGGACAGCGCTGGCTCCCGGCCTCTTAAGTGAGATGGGCACGCAACCCCAGAGTCGGACACGACTGGCCCGTATAGGCAGGGGTACCTTTACCTTTACCTAATCATCTCTGTAATCAGTACAAGTATACATGTTACATTTTGGAGATGGCTCAGGTATGTGCATGATATTGTGTTATAAAATTCCATTAGAATGAATATTTATCTTGAAACATGGCTGTGTGTATGTGTGTGTATATGTATGTATGTATGGCTGTGTATGGCTGTGTGTATGTATGTATCTTTATAGAAGCCTTTGCTATTCGAGTGCCCTGTAAATGTTTTAGACTACAACTTCCATCAGTCCTAGCCAGCTATATAATTTTAGTGCAGAACACCTGCAGAGAACCAGGTTGTTGAAGGCTGCTTGATGCAGCCTTCATGCCATACAGTTATATAGCAAATAGAACAGTAGAGGGATCAGGTTGTCCAGTACTGAATGGAGCTGTATTTCTGCTTGCAATTTTCAACCAGCGTTACAGCAAATCACCTGCATTTTTTTTTACTGATCTGTCAAAATGGCTATAGTTAAATAGTAGGCTTTTATGTAGTCTTATTTCTACTTTCCCTTGTGAAGAAAAGTGCACTCTCTGTTCTGTAAAATGTTTTTTGAATTATAAATGGGTTTTTAAAATGCCAGAAAGCCTCTTTCTGAATCAGAAAAAAGGGAAAACTCTGTAGCACTGATCATGGCAAATGTAGTTCCTTTTTATTCCCTTTTAAACTCTTTTAGCAAATAACAGAAAATTTGTGCTGACGTTTGTCAACAACTCTGGTATAAAGTTGTGGCAAAACTAACTTTGCATCCTATTGAATGTTATTGCTGTTGTGGCATAGTATCCTAATACATGTCTCCCTTATTGCTGCTGTTTTGCTTATAAAAACCTGAGAATAGTTCAGCACCCCATTCTCACAGTGGTCGCCCAGATGCCTGTGGATAACCAGCAAGCAGGAATCACACCCAAGACCACTCTCCTCTCCAGTGATTTTCAGTAACTGCCACTCAGAATCATTGCTGCCTCCAACTGTGAAGGAAGAGCATGGTTATTATGGCTAGTAGACATTGAATTAGCCCTTTCCTCCATGAATTTGTCTAATCCTCTTTCAGAGCCATCTAAGTTGGTAACCATCACTGCCTCCTTGGGGAGCAAGCTCCATAGTTTCATTATGCATTATGCATTGCATAAGGTACTTCTCTTCTTTTTTCTTTTGCAAATCTTTAGCTTTGCAATCTTTGGCTTTGTAAATCTTTAGCTTCCTGCCCTCTAGCCCATTGGCAACCTTGCTCATACCTGATGACCACATTCTCTCAGCTGCCCATGTCTTGATTTAGTTGCATCTAAGTGTGATAACATGCTTCATCTGTGTTCTTCAAAGCCACTAGAAAGATATGTAAAAGGCAGCTCCCTGTTGAATACTAATCTGCGATTCATATGCAAGATTTTCTGTAGTAAGTATTGTGTTTAGATCTAGAATATGCCTTCTGCAGTCTTGGGAAGAGATATGCAAATAACCTTTGAATAAATTTCCTTGCCTAGCTGCATCATGCGCGTGAGTGTTCAGAGATCTGCAAACACAGATCTTCTATTATTCCATGTCTGTTCTGAGGAAGTTGGCTAAAAATGAGAGCAGTGGTCAGCCAGGTTGGCTTTAGCTAAGCCATGTGGGTTCCATGTGGTGGAACCTCCTTGGTGTTGGAATACTGAGGGTCCAGGTTCCACCACAAATGTTGCTCTGTAATTCTGTGAGATACTGTGCAATATTTCCCTTCTCTGACACATCACGATACTTCTCAGCTGCACTTAGAGAGAAGAACCAATTCCAGTAGAAAGAACCTTCTGGTTCTGTGAATTGCATTTTGAGTACCATGTCTTCAGTGTTTTCTGTGTGATTGTTATTATTGATTTATTTATTAAATTTGTATCCCCCCCCTTTATCTGTGGATCTCAGGGCATTTTACAACATAAAATTACAATAAAAGCCACAAAATGCATAGTAAAAATAAGCACAACAAACCAATTATCCCCACCTGCCTGCCTGCCCACAACACATTTAAAAGGACATACAATGCCAATCAGCCAAAGGCCTGGTTCTAGAGGAACACTTTGCCTGGCACCTAAAGGTGTATAATGAAGGCCTGGGGAGAGCATTCCTCAAACAGGGAGCCACTGCAGAAAAGGCCCATTCTCATGTTGCCACCTTCTGGACGTCTTGTGGAGGAGGCACACAAAGAAGGGCCTCAGAGGATGATCTCAGGGTGCAGGCAGTTCATGGGGAGAGGTGGTCCTTGAGGTATTGCAGTCCTGAGCTGTTCAAGGCTTTATAGGTCAACACCAGCAAAAAAACAGCTAATTAGTTTACAGGCCCAATTCAGACCAATTGGCAGCCCATGCAGTCAGGCCAGGATCAGTGTAATATGCTCAAACCATCTTGCCCCAGTGAGCAAGCTGGCTGCTGAATTCTGCACTAACCGAAGTTTCCGAACCATCTTTAGAGGCAGCTTCGGATTGCAAGCTGCCAGGGGCTTAAGCCCAGGACTAATGCCAGATCACCTTATTCCCTGCGTCACTGAGTCAGCTCCCAGGCAGAGGGAGCTTTCAGCCTGATCTCTGCTGTTTTGCAGTGCAGCCCCTATCGTGGTCAGAGACACTAGTATGGCTTTGTAAGACCAGCTGGAGCAGGTGGTAGCTGATGTTGCTTTTTCCACTTCCTGCTGCTAAGCCACAAAAGGCCCCACAGCACAGTGCCTTTAGGCAACTGCCTGAGGGTGCTCCATTCTCCAAAAGGGAAAGAAGAAGGTGATCATGGCAGGCAGCCAGTGGTTGTCGCTTATGGAAATGCTTGATTTACTGATGTGCTACAATCAACACATGCATATTAAAAAGTGAGCACATTCACACTGCTCTGGGCCTCCCTTCTAAAGTCTGTCTCAAATAGGAAGGGAAGGGAGGGGAGTACATGCCATGGCAATGGCAGAGAGGCCTCTTGGGAATTACTTGTCTCCTGGATATCACTGTTCCACTTAAGTGTACCTGAAATGCTATCTTTGAGCATATCTCATTTGCTTGGCTGGAAAAAGAGAATAAGAACCCTATTTCCAGTAGCATCATTGGAATGATTACTGGCGTTACACTGCCTGAAACAGAGGCTGGTGCTATTTGACTTGACACATTCTTCCAGGCAGCTTCAACCACTAGTGGCTGGTGCACGTACCATGCCATTACTTTCTGCTGTAAATGTGCAGGTTTTTACAGCTGATGTGTGTCAGGATAGCTTTTGTGGTCATGCATGCAGTGTAACAGGGTTTTTTATGGTTCTATTAAATATGGCAGGGGGAAAAGCAGTTGTTTTACAACAGACATAAACAATACTGCTTGCAGCTATATTGTATGATGGTGAGGCACACTGTATAGTCAACAAATAGGACTTTGAAAGAGGTGGAAAATGAAACATACAAAACTATGGCCTCTTTGAAATTTTGAAATTTTAGATTTTTTTTTAACCCTTTAACCCATCAAACTCTTCTGGGCTGAATGCTTTTCTTCCTTTTCTTCCAGTGAACTGAATATCCAGCTAACAAAACAAAGCTGACAAAATCAAATCAAGTTAGAATGTTGTAGGTAGGTGAAGGCCTAAATCAGGCAGTGAACTGAATATTGGTTTTTATGCCCATTCCTTCTCTCGCTTATACATGGTGTATACACTTTTTAAAAAGTGCATGGAGAGGACATTCCTGAAAATGGAAAGAATACCCAGAACCCCTTTTGCAAAATCCACTGAGATCAATAAATATATTGCCATGCTTATGGCACAATCTAGCAAAAGTAAGGATAGAATGTCGTGCTGGGAGGACCCTGTCAAAGTAGAGCAGGTTCCCTACTCCTGACATTCAGCTCCCAAATGATGAAGAACCGCAGAAATGGTGATGGGCCTGGGGGAGGGGCAGGGCCAATGTCTTGTCCTTGTCCACTTTCTCATATGGCCGTAATAGTGGTGCAGGGGTGAGTGGGAAGGACTTGTGTTCCATTTAAATCAATCACACTTGAGTTAGACGTTAAGTCCCTTTGCTTTCTTTTCCTTGGGACTTGACCTGAGCTAAATTTTATCCAGTATGTGTAGCGTCGGGGTGACAATTGTACAGTATAAACTGTGCACTTTAGACATAAATCAGTTAAAGCTGAGGAAGAAGCAGATATCCCATGTGGTTGCTTAACTAATGCTTGAGTTAACAAATAAAAAGAGGAGACTCTGATGGAATACCAGCTTGTATATTTCTTGTATGTAAACTTCAGCATGGCAAAATGTATTGGATAGATGTGTTTTCTGTCCAGGCAGGAAGTCCCACTATGCTTGGCGCATCAACTTGAAAAATAAATTGTGGACCCCATATTTACAGTGGGAGGTGCAGATTAAAAAAATGGTGCACTCCTATTATGATACAACACAATACGGCTGCCATTCTGTTCTCAAGTCCCACTGATCAGTGACTTGAGCTCCATGGTAGAGCATCTGCTTTGTGTGCAGAAGGTCCTGGGTTCAATCCCCAGCATCTCCATGTAGGACAAGGAGATAAACCTGCCTGAAACCACTTCAAACCACCTGAGCCAGATGGACCAATGGTCTCACTCAGAATGGGCAGTGTGGATTTCATGCAGGCAACTAGGCATATCATTTGAAGACCTTGCTGTGTTTCCTGAACCTCCTTGAATAAATGGCCAAAGAAAAGTTAGAGCCCCAACAGAGCTAAGTTTGGTGCCTATCTTACCAGAGGATTACATAAGTGATGGTTATATGTGGCTGAGTAAACATGCACCTCCAAACAGCTGGCTCTGGCCCTAACTTGTGTCAAGCAATTGGCACAACTCCTGATTAGAAATTAATTAGATCGATGTCAGCAGAGCACACACAGTTTCTTTCTCATAGAAGAACATGCCAAATCCATTAAGAATAAACTACTTGATGCTGATTCCAGTCTTGCATGCTTTGTCAGTTCAGCTGCATATCTCGCCAGTGTTAATGAGATGCACTGTGTGAGTACTTTTATTGGCATAAGCGTGCAATGTTCTAGTTTATCCTGAAATTTCATTCCTTTTGGCTGTGATACTTTTCTTCTTTCTAAAGCAGAAATTCAGTGCTAACACTAGTTCCTTGGTTGGAAGGCTGCATTAAATAATTCTCTAGAATTCTAAAGACTGCAGAATAATAATAGTAAGGAATTATAATGAGTTGCTTCTTTTTGCTGGTTTTAAATTCCATGGCGATGTAAAGATTCTGGATCGCATTGGGATCAAGATTTGGGGTCCCACCTTGAGGTACAGCACCTGAACTGTGTGTGTGCGTGCATGTGAGTACAAAGTTCCAGGGATGAATAGGATCCAGATGTTGGTGGAAACATCCCCCCACTTTCCCCTCCCCCTCCCTAGGGGGTTTGAATGTTTGAATAGGATCCTAACTGATTTACATCAGTTTTGGAGGGGTGGCAGTCTTCTCCCTTTCCTATCACAGATCTGATTTGGAAAGAAGTAAGTACAGTGGACCTTCTAGTTACATACCGCTCATACATACATACTATTGGGTTATGAATGCGGCAAACCCGGAAGTGTATACTTCCGGGTTTCGCCATGTGCGCATGTGCAGAAGCGCTCAATCGCGCCATGTGCATTCTCAGAAGTGGCGCCTCTGCTTATGTACTTTTCGGGTTGCGGACGGACTCCCAGAATGAATTTAATTCGTATCCAGAGGGTCCACTGTATAGGAAAAACTGCTGCTTTGTTCTTATAAGACCCTATGCGGTTTCAGGGGTGTGGGTGGGTGTGCTTATCTTGTGTCCTGCTCCATTCTTCTAACACCTGTTTAGTACGCATTCTACAGATCTATACATGCAGCAGTAAGAGTTAACATGCAGTTCTGCATCAGTATCTTCCCATACTTAGCCAGCAATCCTAATTCCACTTACTTGGAAATGAATTGAATTCAATAGGACATCCTTCTGAATGGAAAATGGGCTAGGATTGCAGCTTTGTTAACTGGGGTTGGATTAGGTAGCAAAATGAATACCAAGAAATAGTGACCTGATAGTAATACTACCTAAATTCTAAAACAGAACTGGGATTTGAACTGTGATCTTCTAGGTAGAAAGTCAAAATGTTGTACATGCTTGTAAGTGCAGTGGGAATTATGTAAGGCTGTAGCTCAGTGGCGTGCATGCTTTGCATGCAGAAGGTGCTATTAAATTCTGGGTATCTCCAGCTAAAATTATCAGGTAGCTGGTGAAGTCTGAGAGCTGCTGGAACCAGGGAGAATTGGTAGTTTTTCCCCATGTTACGAGTTTTGCTGTCAGATTTCTGTAAATACGGATAATCACTGTGAGTTTGCTTTAAGATAATCCTTGGACAGAGCCTTGGCCTTGACAAAGGACTCTTAATAGACCAGGATATTAAGACAATGAGGGTCAGTGGCAGCAGATTTGTTAGGAGGCTACCTCTTGATACGGGGACACGGGCGGCGCTCTGGGTTAAACCACAGAGCCTAGGACTTGCCAATCAGAAGGTCAGTGGTTCAAATCCCCACGACTGGGTGAGCTCCCGTTGCTCGGTCCCTGCTCCTGCCAACCTAGCAGTTTGAAAGCATGTCAAAGTACAAGTAGATAAATAGGTACCACTCCGGAGGGAAGGTAAACAGCGTTTCTGTGTGCTGCTCTGGTTCACCAGAAGCGGCTTAGTCATGCTGGCCACATGACCCAGAAGCTGTATGCCGGCTCCCTCAGCCAATAAAGCGAGATGAGCGCCGCAACCCCAGAGTCGGCCACGACTGGACCTAATGGTCAGGGGTCCCGTTACCTTTACCTTTACCTCTTGATACAGGATCACTCTGGAAGGTTCAGAATGGGGGAAAGAACAAAGGTAGGTGTCATAAATCTCTCCAACTAAGGATGAAGCAATCTGGGTATTTGAATGAAGGGGAGCAAACTCAGTTTTTGGAAAGAGACTGGGAGACACCTGAGCTTCTTGAGCCTCTAGAGTCTAGAAGGTGCTTTCAAAATGGGGCAGTAGACTTGACTGTCCAGGGTTTTGAAACATAAAGCCTCTACCTGTGTTCAGCTTGTGTATTTAGTAAATAATACAAGGTATTGTAAAATGTTGTAAGATTCCAGCAGAAGCCAATCCCAGATAAGTGCTACCCCCATAGATCTTCTCAGTGGTAGGAGTAGGTGTTGGAAATATTTCAGGTCAAGGGTGGCCTGAGGCATTTTAACATTTGAAATACTCTCAGAGTCAAGAGTGGATTTCATGCTCTTTATTCAGCTCATAGTGGTGAGGAGGAATGGATGTCCCCTCAAAGTATCTGCTTTATATACATTATTTACACAATGGGCTGCACATGATTGGCTAATTCCGGAATTCTCCTGTAGGCCAATCAGGTTGTGGATTCACTTCCATCTGGAGCCGGATTGGGTGGCTCCTGCAGACCAATCATACTGCTGCATTGTTCTAGGACCAATCAGACATTCTGAATCCTATTGTTCTAGGACCAATCAGAATGCTGCATTTTGGATCCTATTCAACTCAGTACATAACAACATTTGAGGCAAAATGTCCTGCTGCCACTCCTATAATGGGAGGGCTTGAGGGTCTTCAGGGGCTTCCCCTCCAGGAGAAGACCTTGCAAAGCCTTGCCACCCTGCTGGGCGGGATTCAACAAAGGAGAAATCAGTGCTGATTCTGGTGCTGATTCTTCAGCGTGAGTGGGACACCCATGGTAGTGCCACCTCAGGGACTTCTACTGCCTGAGGCGGCTGCCTCTCTATACCTCATCATTGCATCGGTTCTGTTTGAGGTGACCACATGGAATAAAAGGCCATGGTCATTTGAATGTGAGCTATGTTCACATGTATTAAACTCTAAAAGAAGAAAGCGGCCAGCATTTCTACATTATTTACAAGCCATTCAGAAGGATTAATACAGATTATGCTGTTGACATTTTGTTTACTTTCATTCTGAATAAAATAAGATGGCCACATGGTCAGTCTGGAAATAGATTTATGTGAAACTTGCATTCTTAAGTACTGTAGCATCAGAGTTTCTACAATCGCCTCATAATAGCAATTTTGTTTATGATTACCAGGTTTCCTGTTTTTGCATTGTATGCAGTGGATCTCTAAATGGCAATTACTTCCACAAATAACAAGTTCTCTGTGTGTTCGCTATGTTTCTAAATACAGAATTTTCAACATTTCAAAATGAGATGAGTTTGTCATATGGACATCAAATGTTTTGTTTAGCATTTTTCTCTGTCAATCTGTGGCTAATGTGGAACTGAGAATTGGCAGCAATATGGGGACGCTGATGTGCCTTGGGGTCCCTAGGAATGAAAGGTGGCAGGTGCTAAACACAAACATGGTGTACGATCAGTGGCAGATCTAGGTCAAAATCTTGGCAGGAGGGCAGGAAAACTCATCTCTGCTCTACATGTTCAAGTTCTGTTTGAAAGCACTCATTGCCTCCCCTCCCTTCCACTTTGTTTCTGGAGATCCTGCTTGGCTGTTAAATGGATTCTTGCTGCTGTTGCATCTTGAAGCCTCTCTCTCTGTGTGTGTTTTTTTAACCAGGCTGTGCATATGGATTATATGGTTGGTTGCTCTCACATGGATAATTCATTGCATATATGCTCTGCTTGGTAAGCATCTGGGAATTGTGTGTAGAACTGATGCAAAGGGACAGAGTGTGGTTGCAGAGTAAATTGAAAGATGTGATTTCTGTTTCCTGGGCCTTCAGGAACTGTCCAACTGAAATACACATGTTGTAAAAGCTGGCCTCCTTAGGCTTTAAGTCTGCCTCAGTTTCCTTACATGTTTAATGCTATGGTTTTCAGGGAATTTTTACGTTTTGATAGCTTGTGGTATTCATGCACTTGATTTTGTAAACTTTCTATGCCAGGCTTCTCAGTTGTGGTGCACCAGTTTTGGAGGTCCCTCTCCCCTCCAGAGGTGCCTGCTTTTTAGGTGCCTTTTTATTTTGTAGGCTTTTTAACCTCTGGTAGTTTCTGTCACTGCCCTTTACTGGTTTATTGATTTGTTCTTGTTTCATTGTATGCTTGTAACCCACCCTTGTAAGTTTTTGATTGCCAAGTGCTATTTTAAAAAGTTAAAATAAAGCAAAACAGGGAGGCATTCTGCACATGCAAACCAATATGTTAAGGTTTGCTGAACTGCTGTCCCATTTCCAGGCACTTTTCTCAGAACCTCATGCTAGGTTTTAAGCCACGCTTTTAACTGATGCCACAGTTGAATCGACCAGTCACTGGAAGCATCAAGTAAGTGCTTGTGAGATGTTCAGAATGCATGGGCTTGTGAGAAGCTGACCTGCTCCAACAATTTCTGTGTGATACCGGGACAGGAGATGTACTAGGTTCCATAGACTTTTCTGTGCATGCATAATGTGTGAAAAGTCCCTTCAGTTTAATAATGGCCACAAATACCAGCTGCCATATCAAACTCTCTTTGGTGTTTAGCAGCACCTTGCAAAATGTCTTTCCTCACTGCAAGTCAGATGATTA